TTGTTAAAACAAGAGCGAAATTAAAATACTTATTTAAAATGTTTTTTTTTTTTACAATTTTAGCGATCTCGGTACGTCAGAATGCTGCACAAAGCAACATAGGTCCATCTAGCAACACGCCTCAGCGTGAACTAAGTTAGTGTGCGTTATTCTATAGCCTTCCCTGTCAATTGCAGTAGGAGTGACAGAAACGTCAATACTTTAAAGTTGCTTGAAAAAAATGACCATATGTGCCATATCACAAAATAAATTATATTAATTATTATAATAACATTATCAAAAATTGGGAATAACCAACTTTTATATCAACCTTTGATACATATTTGTACTCAATATCATTACTCTAATGTATCACATAATTGAGAAACGTGCCTTTCGCAATATTTTTAGATGCTACTTTGGAATTATTTTCTATCGAGTGAAATTAATACAATCATGTTTCGGTTTCAACCACAAGATCAGAAATACGATCAAGTATAACCACAAATTTTTGGATTACCATAGGTTTCCCGTGAATTAGTACAATCCTAGATCAATTTTATCGATTTGGCACTATTCAGCCTCTTAACTCTATCTACATATTATTGGAAATTCCTGTGTTCGCCCGCATATGATACGGCTTTTCATAAGTCAGTGAATTTTTAAAATAACTCCAGTAGTTTCGGTGCCTATTCAGTTTTCGAAGACAAATTAATCTTTTCTCTTCTTCATAATATTAGTATATATTAAAGTAACTTTCCGGGAAAGAAATTTAATCAACAGAACAAGTTAAAAACATTAAGTGAGTAGATTAAACAGTAACTTGTGCCAGTTAAATTTCTAAAGTTAAGCCTAGATAGGTAACATCAATGTTTACGTCGAGACTTTTAATAGAAAACGAGTTAATTTATAGAATAACTTAGCGCACATAACTATTTAACTAGCGCTTTTCTTATTAGTAGTTAAACCTATAGTATAAAAATGTAAATTCATGGTGCAAAAATGAGTTTCATGATGAAGATACGTCACGAGCCTTACGAAAGTATACGTTAGTGTGTTCAAATTCGAATGTCATATCATATTTCTTGTGCCTTGTGAGGCTAAGTTCTTTCTACCTACGCTGCAAAAATCGAGCATGAATAATAGAAGAATAACTTGATAATGTTTTAATGTACGAAAGAGATTACTTTAGGACAGGTGTCGACAAAATCGATTACCATACGAGGCATATTGTAGCCGAAGCATTTAAATAAATCCGACATTCAGTGTATTTCATGAAAGCAACTTAAACTATTGTACCTGACTGCATTTGCATTCGTCAATACCCATCAATAGCCACTGCACAGTAGGCCAATTCTGGGTAAAGTGCAACGGCAAAGTGCAACTCGTTGAGATACCTAAAGTCTCTCCGAAAAGTCTGTCGCGATTGATGTATGAGGAAAAGTACAATGGTAAAATGCATGTCGTTAAGATTCTATTGAGATACGAGTATTACGTAAACATTAGCGGAATTGGCTTGCTGGATCCGCTGATTGGTTCTGGGCCATTCTCATTGTGATTCCATCCATAAGCGAAAGTCTATACCCTAGCAGGGAAATTAATAGGGTAATGATGATGAAATATTTTACACAGCAAAAAAATTTCAGTCTCTTAATTATTTACAATCAGAAAATCTATGTTATTATTTATTTGGTCTATTTTCAATAAACATTTATACGTTATATTGTTACGACATCCGTTAGACATTAAGTAAATTTGATTAATATCAGAGTATTAATAATGACAAGAATCCTATTGTTGTCAACAGAAACGTTCGTGAAAAATGTCACCTCAATTTTTTTTTTCTTATTCAAATGAAGGCTATTTTTCGCACAATCCATTTATTTGGAGTAATTGATTACGCATGAAGCCTTGTACTTATTGTTATACTTTTTTTATGATATTAATTTTGTAATCATTTAGTATTTGAAATTGTTTTTTTTTAGTTCATTTCGTAATGAACTAAGTAGGTTATGAACGAAATAAAAGAAAAAAGGCCGACCCAGAGCGAGTCAAACTCACGCAGATGTAAAATTTAGAAAACCACACACTTACAGTGCTATTGATAAGTTTTAGCATCAGGGTAAATTTACCCTAAAACTGATATTTTTAGTATCCGTTCAAAGAGAAAATAGCAAACCTACTAACTTACCCCCTTAGAACTTCGTACTAGATTCATCTTTGCTAAGTCTCTTTTTAATAAAGAATTTTGACTAATACTAAGTGTTGTCTCACCGTAAATTTACTCCAATGCTAAACCTTGTTTATTATTAAAAAAAATTACATTTATTTATATATATTGTATATTTTTAACAGCTTTAGTTTCGGAAATTGAGATCGAGAAAATAAAGGCAAAAAATATGATATGACATTCGAATTTGAACGCACTAACGTATACTTCCGTAAGGCTCGTAACGTATCTTCATCATGAAACTCGTTTCGGCACCATGAATTTGCATTTTTATACTATAGGCTTAACTACTAATAAGAAAAGCTCTAGTAAAATAGTTACGTGCGCTAAGTTATTCTATAAATTCAGTCGTTTTCTATTAAAAGCCTCGATGTAAACATTGATGTTACAAACTGATTTCTGTCTCACTGACGTGTATTACTTTTTCTTAGATGTATATATGTTTGTCGATTTTAATAGCGTCTCGTCAACCTCCCAATTAGCGATAAGTCTGATCGTAGAAAGTCAATCTTGCATATTAGCACTTTCACATAATATATTAATTTTTTCATTCATTCTCAATTAAATCCTGTACTTTATTAAAATATATATTAAACGTCAACCCTACACCAATAACTACCTACCAATGTAAATAAGAAATTACACTGCCCAACAAATATCTACTTCATAAAATTTTCCAAGAAAATTATTATCACGTTTAATGTATTTTGGTGTGGTCATTTCATAAATATCACTGTTTTTTGTGTAGCAGCTCTAGTTTTTAAGATTCTTCAAACTACCCGCATTTTAGGTGACGGAACAATTTAATTGAGTTTCAACGAGTGCATTATTTCTTTTTTTCACAATCAAAACAATGGCTACGAAGAAGAGACGTTGTTTAAACGATTCAAACGAAAAAAAAGGTTTTTGTGTTATTTGTGGCGAATACACCTTTGCAAAGTATCGTAAATCGATCACGGACTTCGTTAAATCTGCCTATTTCAAGTACTTTGGAGTGCATATTTCCAATCTACAGAAACCATGGGTGCCTAATACCGTGTGCCAAAATTGTGTTGTCTCTTTGCGACAATGGTCAAATGGAAAAAGATCAGCTCTCAAGTTCAAGACACCCATGATCTGGCGGGAACCTCGTAATCATCATGATGACTGTTATTTTTGTATGGTTAACATTACGGGTATAAACTCTGCAAACCGGGATAAGTGGTCATATCCGACGTTGTCTTCTGCTCAGAAGCCCCTTACACACTCAGACCAATCACTAGCACCAGTACCATCGACATCATCAACAAGTTTTGAACCAGAAAATATAGAAAATGAAGAAGAAAAACAAGATTCCGACTCTGATTTCACACCTAGTCAAGAGACAAAACCTCAACCATTCAATCAAAGTGAGCTAAACGACTTAATAAGGGATTTAAATCTATCGAAAGAGTCTTCTGAAATTTTGGCATCTCGTCTGAAAGAAAAAAATCTACTTACTCCAGATACAAAAATTACATTTTATCGTACTCGTGAAAAAGATTTACTTCCATATTTTTCCTCTGAAGAGAATTGAGTTTACTGTAATAATGTTGAAGGTCTTATACAAAAGATGGGTTTACAAAAATATATACCAAGCGAATGGCGTCTTTTTATTGATAGCAGCAAAAGAAGTTTGAAGAGTGTACTTTTACACAATGGAAATAAGTATGGTTCTATACCTATAGGACACTCAACTTCTATGAAAGAAAGATATGAAAATATATCTTTAGTGTTGGAAAAACTGAAGTATGACGAGCATAGCTGGAAAATTTGCGTAGATTTGAAGATGGTAAATTTCCTCCTAGGACAACAGGCGGGTTATACTAAATATCCGTGTTTCATATGTTTATGGGACAGCCGCGACAAAAACAAACATTGGACTCAAAAAGTATGGCCACTAAGGGAGTCAGTGATTGTTGGTAAGCAAAATGTAATCAATCCACCTTTAGTAAATCAAGATCGAATTATATTGCCACCACTTCATATAAAACTTGGTATTATGAAGCAATTTGTTAAAGCCATTAATAAAGATGGCGAATGTTTTGCTTTTCTCTCAAAGAAATTTGCTGGACTGAGCAACGAAAAGTTGAAAGCAGGCATTTTCGATGGTCCACAAATTAGACAATTGATAAAAGACCCCAATTTTGTCGAATCTATGAACGAACTTGAAAAAAGAACGTGGAAAAGTTTCGTTGCAGTAATTCAAAACTTTCTTGGGAATCATAAATCAGAAAATTATTTTCAATTAGTTAACGATATGTTGTCCAATTTGAAACTTCTAGGATGTAACATGAGTATTAAATTACATTATTTACATTCTCATTTGGATCGATTTCCTGAAAATCTTGGAGATTATAGCGAGGAGCAAGGTGAAAGGTTCCACCAGGATATTCGCACGATGGAAGAACGTTACCAAGGGAGGTGGGACATACACATGATGGCCGACTACTGCTGGAATCTTTGTCGGGATCAAATACAGAAGCCTCATTCAAGAAAATCTTATAAAAAACATTTTTTCCCCGAACCGCAGTAATTATTTCAAATAAAGTGTGTGAAAAAATCATAATTTTATATTAATTTTTAACCTACATGTAAATTTTAAACTAGAGCTGCTAGAAAAAAAACAGTGGTATTTTCGTAATCACCACACTTAATTTAATCGAAAACATGTGGAAATACTCTGGAAAATTTTTCAGTGTTGACCAGTGTTATCAAATGGAAATCAAATCTGCTTGTGGTAACCGATGTCAAACACTAATGTTTTGTAACACTAATCGGTCTCATCGGAATCGATTTTGGGTCCAAATCGATTAGGAATAGAACGCAATTTGGGGTGAAGGCCTTTTGGCAAGACACCAAATAATGGCTTTGAAACTTTTCTAAAGATGTTTTTGTCACGTTTGATGCTTATGTCGTCAGCGATCTTCACGGCGGATTAATTTAAAATAGTTTATTTTTAAATGCGTTTTTGGTACGGCTAATTTAATGGGAATCAAGTTATAAATTAATTTCTTTTTATTATAGTTGTTGATGCATAAATCCTGATGTTTAGCTGACCAATATTGGGTCAAGTACAAATCTGGTCTATGATAGTTATTACTACATAAATAAATCAATTTTAAATACTTCTGTTTCTATTACCGTGTATCCAAGTTTATTTTGCATACTTTGAAACTTATAATGGATAAAATATGGATGAATTAATCTGAACAGTGTCATTAAGTCTAGCAAATTGTATAAAACTATAATTAAACCTTTTCTCTCTACGAGAGATAAAAAAGCGACCTTTAAAAAGTCTCTTATTCAAATGTTAAATATTTATGGATAAGACTATTTTTAAAATGGAACGAAACGGCAACCAAACAAATAAACATACAATTGAAAGCTAAAACTTGAGCTTGGCTAAATCATAGAAGAGCTAATAACGAAGTAATCGAATTGAATCTCGACGATTGGACAGATAGCGTGCGTTGAATTATAGCTATTGAAAGCTGTTGTAATTACTGGAACTGAGAGATGGCATTGTTCTTCTGTTCGATCACGGTAACATTCGGTTGCTTTAATTACCTTTTTAGTAATTTATGAACCTCCACTATGCTTTCGAACTATGTTAAGTACTTATTAAATTTTGTTTTTATTTGGACCTTGGTAACAATGAGGCTAACAAAAAAAATGGCAGTTGGCACGAAATACTAAGGACTTTTTCTCTAATCACATTGAATTGGCGATTTATTTTTCGCAATCGAAGTGAAATGTAGTATATAACACACGGCACTTACTGCCCATTATAACTCGTTTTCTATTTACTCCCTTTCTAAAATTCTGAAGAAAAAATACATTGTGACATTGGGTCATTTAAGTTCCTTGTATTATTATCGTGAAGTTTACTTCTTTTTATTTCAGCAGTAAGTCAAATATATCCGTTTAGAAGTTAAAGTAAAATGTACTTTCTCAATCAGGAGACATTTCAATCACTATTTATCTTAATTACAATATTCAAACTGGTTAACTTTCATATAATCTAACCTTAAAGATATCATGTGTTTTTATATAATATTATCATATTATTTTTATTTTAGAATGAAGACTTACGTCACTAAGAACATCAAAACCTTTTTAAAAATGTAGCCTGTATTTAATTCCTTTATTCAAAGGTCCATTGCGATCATTGTAATTATTTACTTCATAAGCCATTAAGTGTCGATCAAGATCCATAAGGGCAGATCACGATCTGTTGCATCAGTACACATTTGGTGATTTGGCTCATTTGGCCAGGTGTGTAGTAGTGTTCACTTAATGTTAGACAATTCAATCAAAATAACGTATTAAGCTACCCAGTTTATCCGTCACTAATAAATATACCCTAATAAGATTCGTAGTAGTAGAATTTCGCTAAATCTTGTGACTATACTTTTATAATATTTTCTACTATTGTTAGTAACTTCTATGTTCGTTTAGTCACATAATTAGTTTCGCTAACACCACATCACTAACTTTCTTCTATTTGTTAAGTATATTAAGAAAACAGTTCAGTGTAATGGTAATACAGATTGATAACGTTTATAAAATTTTAATCTAAATTTCTTTATAATTTTAATATGTAACTTGATTATTCTTTAAAAAATAGTGTTGGTAGCAGAATCAAAATCATCTTTGCCACAGCATTACAGTTTAATCCAATGAAATCTATTTCAAAAGCTAAGAAAATTTTATCTGATTAAACCTTTACCGACTGAGCTGCACCCGGACTCCATATATATTAGAACATCTATTTTTATGAATGATAGCTGACGTTATATTTTTAATGAAAAATAGTCTCTAACACTATTGATTGCCCGAGCTTCTTTCATTATTGAGCTTTAATGTACCAGAAAGAATCTTTAAAAACTAATTTGTGTGATAAGATTGATATTTTGTTGAAGCTGTAACTCAGCAAGACAAATTATTCTAAATCTGCTCACTTGACCGAAGAGATTTTTATTATGTTTTGTGTCTTTATTATAGTTTGTATCTATATGTGTGAGTCTATTTAACCATAATAAGTCTATATTATTGTTTTTAATTAATATAGTGAAACTGTCGGTTCACCTTTGAAATAAAATTTTATAACTCACAATACGGGGTTAATCTGTGTAATTTCAATTGTACTTACCGCTTTATGCGAGTTTTCGTTGGCGTAACCGCCATGTTTTTCTTCTTCGGCCGAGTCTCCTTCTTCTTCGAAGAATTCGACTTTCTTTTCGTATTCGTCCTTTTTGTGGATGTCATGGCTACCTTTCGTGCTGTGGCCTTTGGAATGCTTGCCCGATTCTTCGTACTGAAAGTTATATTATTGCGGAAAACACAAATACGATTAGTATAAGTATACATTATTTTAAAATAGTTCGCATGTTTTAAAGGATAGAAGAACTTGAAGAAGTTCATAAGTTATTATATTCAGTTCTCAGATTCCAAGTTGAGTTGTTAAATTGTGGTCTGGAAATCTGATATGACGATAGAACAGATATTTAGAAAATTTTATTTCCTATATTAACCCGGCCAGGAATCGGACCCGACATCCCAGAGATTATAACACTTAAACCCCCGGTTTAGGCGAGCCAGTCGGCACATGTAGCAATAAAATTCTGAAAAATAAATTATTTTTAATGCTAATTAATGTACGAGCTATTGATTTCATAAAAACTTTCACCGATAAACACTGAAATCCGCACGGGAACAGCAGTGGTATTCTGATAAAAATACAACGTCGAATGCAGTATCGAAGACATCTAAGTTGCAGCATTAGAGGGTTAATCAAATAAAACAATAAAGATTTTATTTGATTAAATTTGTCAAGCTCTGATAGTGCTGTGGCGATGTTGTATTTTTAATAGAATAGCAAAGCCGCTCAAGCAGAGCATGGGCGAATTTATCCAGTCCTTACTTTATAATAGAATAGTAGGTTTTAAAACAGTACTTCATTTAATAAAGTCAAATATTTTTAAATCAATTAGATATTTCAAACAAAACTGCTAGTCACTTTTTACCTTAATTTCAATAAACGTTTAGTTCTATTAAAACTTGTTGATTAACTGAAAGTTTTTAAATTAGACATCAAGTATCCTATTTCTGATTAATATTATAAATGTGAAAGTTTCTTTGTGTGGATGTTTGTCCATCATCAAATTAAATTACCTATGGAAACAATAAACTTATTGAATATCATGCAGAAACTACTGAACATATTTTGATAAAATTTGGTATACATATAGGGTATTAGCTGACTTAGATAATACGACTTTTTATCCTACTAAACATTTTCCTATGGACCACGTGGGCGAAGCAGTTGGCGAAATCTATTGGATAAATAAACGTTGCAACCGTAATCTAATTACTACAATATTGTAAAAAAACACCTCAATTAGATTACATTTAATCTTAAAAAGAACAATAGAGTAACTGAATTATTGTTTATATTGTGTTACTATATTGCAACAAAGTCAAAAGTGAAAATGCTCTGAAATAATGTCGATTATTGATGAAGCAATAAAACGATGCTGACAGGGTTGCATGATACAAAAAATATTGCTCAAAATATTGACAACAATAGCCAGCATTTGTCGTTGTAAATACGCCGTTCTAGATATTACAGTATTTCAAATGTGGACTATTTTATTGAGATGTTCACTGTCTATTTTAGATGTTTGCGAATTTATGGATACTTAGTAACTACTTATTTGAAATATCCAAATTGATAGAAAATATTATTGAGAGTGAAATTCAGCACTATAAAGAGCGAACATAAAATATTTACAATCGATGGCACGTCAGACTATACAAAACTGTAAAATTTCCCCACGCGATTTTAAACCCTTATATTTAGAAGGTACAGGTCGAAATCTATTACAGAAACTTGACATATGGTGGTATCCTGAGATGCATATAGTACAAGCAGCAGAACATCAGGTTACTGCAGAATGTCTTGTGCAGCCAATTCAGAAGTTTTATTTCTGAATAATAAATTTTATAATCCGTTAAAGAATTTTGCTAATTTTGAATAATCTAATGTTCTGTTGACTGTTCTATTCAGCAATAAGATATTGCTTTTATATAAATAAAGTAATTTATAGATAAGTTTTCCAGTCAGAAAGTTGAACTTGACAAGTTCAACTTCACGTTGTTCAAGTTAACTTTGTTTCTACCAACATTTTCACGGTAATTGCATGCAATGAAATGTAAAATATTTCAAAATCCTCACTGTGATGATGTGATGATTGTGGTTTTTCTAGAAATTTCCACTAGTTATAAGTCTTCATTAAGCATTACAATTAGTTACATCATCATCAGCTTATTTGTGTCCGTAATTTCTGGGGCGTAGACCTTTATGGTCCTACAGAGCCTAGAGCAGTTTTCTGAATACTGATAACTGGAGAATGTAGTCGAAACTATGTAACTTCTTAACGGACCTTTGAAGTACGAAGGAGCCCGAGATAACAAGTTTTTGGTGCCCATTCAATAACGCACTTTTGTGAAAGTTGTTTAACTTCCTTAATTACAAACAGACCGTGAGGATATATCAATGGGAGATCTTGAATAATACGAAATTGCGATCAACACATGACGTGAATTCTAAACCCATCTCTAACTCGTCGTCGAACACAACGTTATCATGGCAGTGAAAAATAAAACTACTTCAAAAGGCAATATAGGTTTTATATGATTGAAGTAGCGCTGAGTCCAAGACTATTTTTTAAACTGCATAGGTGATATTTTCTAAGAATTGTTGGTTGGGAGTTTCTGACATTATTCCATTGTTTCTTTTGGCATGGTGTCTGTAATTTTCCTATTTTATTGCTTACCTTCGCATGTTTTTTCCCGTGTTCTTCGTGATGGTGGTCGCCATAGTGACCCGATTCGACGTGGTGGCTCTGGTCGTGGCCACCGTGGTCCGAATACTTGCCAATGTGGTCTTCTTTGTCGTGGTGCCCTTTCGCAGTTTTCGAATCCTTGTGTACACCCTAGAAACAGTTGAATAAAAATTATTTATTAGCGTAGACCAAATCTTAAGTATACAATACTCAGATTACAATTTAAGTAGCCAGAACTCTTGTATTATAGAAATTTGAACAATGCAGGTATCACACCTAGACGTGAGAAAATATAGATAGGTTATTTTTCTGTATTGATCTGACCAGACTGTGGACCACAAAGATGGCAACATATTGAAATCGTCGTGTAAGCGGGTAACAAATTGTTATGGCTGTATTTTTGGATATTCCTAAAGTATTTTTTATAGATTACCAGACTATAAATATTTATTCATTTTCAATATAAATACAGTTTTAATAGTGTGAAACACTGTAATCACCGTAAAGTATTTCGAATTAACATTAATTTGACCACATCTAATATTTAATTATGGAACTACATATATTTATCCATCAGATCTGATGCGGAGTAACAGAAAAATTGAGAACCACGTATATACGGATCTCAAAATATTCGTAAACGGAAAATAATAAATTCTTTTAAATTTAAATCCGGCTCAAAGGACCATGAACATGAGTATGAGTATAAAATATAATCCATAAATTAAAACATATAAGCTCATATTAAAAGAAATTCTACAAATTAATTAGTAATCACACTACATTAAAGGCAAAAAATATTATGTCTGAAGGAATATTGTGTAATAATTACTCACACGCAACTGTTACAACGAATTTTAATAAATTAGTGTATATTCTAAAGTTATCGTTCTTAATACAATACTTAAATTGATCTTCGGCATCAATGTTTCTGTCTAGAATTCTAACTTTATTGGATGATAAAGTTAGAATCCTATATAAAAACTGGCGGAAGACCGTGAGAACTTAGTATCTGCCTCCTCACTTCCATACGTACGGTATCTTCGAGACGAATTGCAATGTCATAAATACATCATAGTAATATATAATAAATAACGAGACAGAAACACAAAACAATGAATCGATAATACTCATTCAGAAAGCAAAAGTGGATGCCGTTAAAAAAATCAAGACAGCAATTTTCCACGGGAACCTTTTTCTATAGTCGCCCGATTAATCTAATCAGTCACAGAACTGATTTTATTTGCCGACAATGAGAAATCACTGTCTCTTTAAACGGAAAGTGTATAAGTAAAGTTTGCAACACTCAGATCTGGTTTCACCACCAATTAACGGAGTGTCGTGTCTGTCAATCAGTTAATAGATTTTATTTTATTTAAGTTTATTATATTTTATAAAGATCCTGCTTCTGTTGTAATCGTGAATAGATTTGATTTGACATACATTTAGATTTTTATTGACCTGTATATGGTTACCTTTTTACTGATATAAAAATGGAATAACCTTCTTTGTGCAAATAGGTGTAACAGTTTTTATTCAAAAAGAAAGATGCTCAATATTATAGTAAATAAATATGAAATGAGTGCTTTAACCGCTTCATTCGGAATCTGAGATTTTTTACATCACTAAACACTGCGCCATCGAGCTTCTCATAAGAATAAATGTATACTAATAATAGAGAATAATCTTTAGAAATATTGAGCCAATAATGGAAAATTCTAAGTTTAATAATGCACAAATGTGCCATCTGCCTTACACTGACAGGTAGGGTGGTATTTAATTAAATATTAACTCGAATCTTTAAAATCGCGGAGATCTAATTGACTTGTCGACTTCGGAACTTATATATTACTAACTGTTCACGTTTATGAAGCGTTTTATTTATTATTTATAAATTATTGTTACATAATTTATTTGTCATTGCAGATTTTTTTTTTATATCAACCGCATATTAGGTTAAATTTTAATATTAAAAAATTATGTTCTATGAACGACGCAAAAATTTGTACATAGATTGAAAATTGTTTTCAATCTAAAATTGTATTGACATAATAATAAAAAATCAGTCCAAATTCATCATTCCACGAGAACGTTTATTTGTTCACACTATGTTCTAATATGTCCGAAATGTACTCCGGAACGTAACCGGAAAAATCGTCTTTTAAAGCGCCGGTATACCTTTATCTTGTTAAAATATCTACAGTTTGAACATTGCTATTAAAATAAATATATTAATGTTAATAAATATTAAATTTAAAATAAATTATAAATTTTAATATTCAAAAAATGTAGTTTAAAAAATAAATAAATGTATTCTATTATTAATACCTACTTAACCTGTCAGTGGCCGCGAGATCAAACAATTCTCGCTCTCGGCCGCTTCTTTTTACATTTTTGCTATTATTGTTTACAATAATCAACGGACTGACTCTAGGTTCTTTTTATCGTGTTCTAAGATAAATTCAGTAATAATTTATCTATATAAAGGACTTTTTTTATAACATTTAGCATTCACAATGACCTTTTTTCGACGAAACGTGAATTATTTTTAAATAAAGTATTTTTATTACATTTGATCAATTTTGCATTCACAACTACACTGAAAAATATTCTTAATAAAAAACACTTAAAAATCACTTTTTCCCTGGCACTCTAAGATGGGACTCGAACTCATGACCTTTCGCAATCCAGAGAATTCCGCGGAGCACTATTCGAACCCTGTCTCTGAGTGCCAGGGACAAAATGGATTTTTCAAGCATTTTTCATTAAGATAAAGTATTTTTTTCTAATTTACCTTATACTTTTTCGTTTCTTTTTTGTTTTTTTTTTTTTATCAATGAAACCTTGCCCTATGAAAATATTCGTTTTTATTTTATTTAAGCAAAAAAAAAAAACAATTATCGGCGCTAACGCACGATTGCTTTGTTTTATTTCGATAAATTTTAATTTAATAATCAAATCACATTTTTCCTCTGAAAGTATTTTTATTTGGTTATAGTCCTTAAACATTCAGCTAAATCATAGCACAGGTCAGTATTACCTCAGATCAAAGACATGAGGCACTGCGGCGACCCGAGCACGTGTGCCGCGGGACACTACGGATTCATAGAAATAAAATGTGTATTTGTTACAATTTTTTTGTATGTAGAAGATGCGGGAGATGTGCGTTTCACATATCCCGCATCTTCTCAATATACCCAATGTGCTCAATATACGCCCAAGGTCGTTACAGTTTAACGTCACCTTAAATTTAATGAGGGCTGCCACGCTTGAATGGGGAGTCAATTAACGGTTCAATGATTTACTAAGCTCTTTAAAAGAAGAACTAAGAGAAATAAAAAAAATACGGTATCAACAATTTTTTAGGATATAACGCAATGAACGACATCATTATATTACGGCGATACGTTGAGTTAAAATGTCACATGACGTGACGTCATTTTCTTTTGTATATTTTCTACAAAACTATGAAGTAACGAGCCCCGACTCCTCAACCTTAATGTCTAAGTCTAGGCTATTTCTTTTTAAATTGTCTGAAGATTTTTTACCCAGGCATCATATCTATTTAGACCATAGTTAATTAGGTAAATTAAGACCGACGAAGGCATATTGAGCGATTTAGCGAATTAGGGCCTCGTTCTCCATCTTACAGTTAAGCTTACATATTTGTTGTAATTTATTTCGAAGCCTAAGTCGTAACAATACGGTTTAAATTCGCATAGTTAGCATAGTAGGGCCCTGCTAAGGCACGCTACGCCATTGAATATCATGTTTGTAAAAACACTTTCGCAAATAACGTATTTATTATTTTAGAAGTAATTTGGTAACCATATAAAAGATTACAGTGAGTCAACCTTAAAAGATAGACATATGCTGTCGCGTGTGTTTACTTTAGAACCTTTAATGGGAAAAAATTTCGTAATACATGATTTTTTTCGTAAGAATCGACGTTTACGCTGCACAGGCAAGGAAAGCTCATTAATAGTAAAATATTCAACCAAAAATAGTAACTATCTGGCTTTATAAATAGTATTATACCTTGATATAAATTGAATCTATCTACAAAGCTTTCCTGTGACTTTTTATCACGGAAGAATCATCACTTATTAAAACAAAATAAAATAAAACCAGGACTTTCATTTAACAAAAAAAAAATAAAAGTCTTATAAAACCTATTTAGGTAATTTGCGTTTCGATCAATGTAATGCGATTATGTCTAATATTTATTTATTATCACTAATCGATTCAGTCGTTCTTCTTATAAGTTCAATGTATAATTAATTACCTTGAAAACCTATATCTCATAGTAGGGGAAAGTAAAGTCTAACTGACTAAATTAATTTATCACATTAAAGTTAACCTCGTTGGCGGCAAAAGGAAAGCTAATAGGATTTGTCTGCTTCAGACTTTTATCAACTTTTCATAGCACGGCTGGATAGCGATTTAAAAAAAGTTCAGACACTCTGAAATATTTTTTTATTTTTCAATTAATCTAGATAGACTATAATACCGTATAATAACTTCGTTAGATAAATTAGGTATCGCTGCCAAAAAGATAGAAGAGGCTAAGAAGAGATAAGTATCAGTACCTTAGTACAAGTCGTAATTTATACAAGTCGTAAGTAATTTATAGTTTTTGAAAACTAATTACATTACCATACATTTCACAGTAGCGCCTCTAGCGGAAACCATAATGAATTTAAAACGACAATGCAAGTCAAATTAGTTTAAACAATCCAATTAATTGTTAAGCTTCTGTTACACTCTCGTCGTGCCTACGCGATTCAATACTGTTTAGGCATGCCCACAAGCAAGATGGAACGTGTAGCCAAGCCTTTGCACCTATAGCAAAACCAGTGTTACAATGCTACGGCAATCACCCTATTCTATGGTCTTACGCAAAATAATGGTTTCATCGTTCATTTAATTTGTAGTACAAATTTGTAGTAAAATGTTTAACATCGATTGGCAACGTCATTTTTTAAACAAATAGGTATTTTTTTTAAAGAACAGATATTTCTAAGATCAAAGATTAATTGAAAGAAATAATTTATTATTGATGTATGTAAAATTTTGTTACAAAAATATATAATTTTTAATAAAAAAAAAGTCATCGCCACTAATATTATAATGAGAAAGTGTATCTATTTGTTGTTCCTGTTCTTGAAGATCCCTTGAAGAAATATTAAATAATTCTATTTTAGACGAGGCCGATTTTAGAATTGTAATTGATGACATTAATTTTTATCTAAGTTACACGGGATTCTGAAAATCGGCATTCGCAACATTGGCTAGTACGTTTTGACTATATCTATGACATGCATAATTTTCGTGTAAATATATGACTATTGTTTTACTAAGGTGTTGGTAGTACGAATTCCGCCAATACCATTATTGGCGGAATTCATACTCATCATCTCATCATCACTATGACCACTTTGTCAACAGCGACACAACCGAGAAGAAGAAGTTGTCTATATTCATTGCGAAAAAATACATAACCTATATATATATGTACCTTCATATTGAAACAAAGAAGGAAATACTTTGGTAAAAAATACAATCAATCGATATACGTGGGTTCTGTGAGCTATCTGATCAATGCTAATAACTATATACTCAAGAGTATCACAAAGATGAGGATCACAAAAATTGACAGCAAATCGCAAAAAATATATATTTTGAAGAGAGCCGTTAAAATATTAAACCTCAAATCAGATAAATATAGTTGGAGTGAGACATCTATTTAAGATCATAAATTAGACCCAAATGGTGCCTCGGAATGATTCGGAGTATAAAGTAGATACTGATCCCCGTATCAGTGTATAATAAGAACAGAGAACAGTGAAAGAACTACTGAGCCGATTACACCAGCTTGTAACGGACTTGAGTATTCTGGATGGCAGGAGTGAACGTAGGGATCAAATATTTACATTAAGAAATAAAGGTACGTTTTCTAACCCTTACTATTCCATAATTGGTATACACTGTTTTATAGATTTATTGAATTTTCTTTTCTTTGCTTCCCTT